TGCATTTTGGCTTTGGGGGAGATAAAATGACAACAATGCCCCCAACAACTATATAACAATTAGTTTAGGGGGTATTTAGGGAAAGTGATAAATTACTTTATAATGACCAAAATACTCCTCCTAATAATTAAAAACAACTAGTTTTTAGGGTATTTTGGAGAATTAAATTATTTTCAATTCCTATAAATAGCTTTACCCTCCACCATTCTCATCACACCAATTCTCATACTCTCTCAAATCTCAATCTCTCATACATCATACATTCATACTTTCACATATACTCTCATACTCTCTCTATTCTCCAATTCTCAACTTGATTCAAGTTTCAATAAGAAGAAGGCTTGTTTGGGTATCTCAAGTTAGCATTTTGAGAGATTCAAAAATTTCAACCATTGAAATCAAGTTGAGATTCCGAATCGGCAATTCGGGTAAGTGTAATTAAATTAAATTTTGTTTTTTTATAATTAAAAAAATGGTCAGCTCCTCCTCTCACTCTTAACACCAATTCCCTAACGTGGTTAATGTCGACGACGTCGATATTCAATCATAATATGATAGTGTTAGCACCGATATGGATGCTGCTAATATTGTTGACATTCTCACCCCTAGTACTACTGCTAGAGGTAGGGGAAAGAAAAAGGAGAACATTAGGTTGATTAGCCCGATTTGGACAATATTTAAAATAGAGGAAGTAGAGGGGAAGGAAAAGAGAGTCATTTGTTAAAAATGTATGAGTGACTTTAGCTACAGTAGTAGTGGTGGYACTGACCACTTGGGCAGACATTTGATATGCCATATGATGAAAGAAGAAKAAGAAGGAGAAGAAGTGGAAGAAGAAGGAAAAGAAACATCACAACCACAAATAGGAAGTGATATTTTTGGTACTTTCAAATATTCCCAAGAAAAAATGAAGCAAGAGTTAGCAAAATATATTGTGCATGCTGAAAAACCTTTTTTATTAGCTGAAGATATTAAACTTGAAAATTTTAATGTAGATTTATAAATCAACAATTTAAAAAGTTTCTAGAAATATTATTAGAACATATGCTTTAAATTTTTTTTATTCATATAAACAAAATTTAATTCCTATGTTATCAAATCTTAATTCTAAAATTGCAATTACTTTTGATATTTAAACATCTAGATTTAATATAAGTTATATTTGTGCTACCAATAATTTTATTGATGAAAATTTGTTTTTACATAAAAGAATTTTAAGTTTTACTAGGTTTGAATGGCCACATACTAGCTTAATTACTGATGCGAGTATTTTAAATACTTTACATATTTATGGAATTGGAAATAAACTTTTTTCTGTCAATTTTGATAATGATAGTAATAATGATGATTCAATAACAAATATTTTAAAATCTCAATTAAAACTATGTTTAGATGGTAAATTATTTCATATTAGATGTGCATGTCACATCTTAAATTTATGTATTCAAGATGCTTTAAATATTATTTCTCATCATATTTCTAAAGTTAAAAAATTATATAATATATATTAAAAGTTTTACAGCAAGAAAACAAGAATTTAAATATTTATGTCAAAATTATGGTTCAAAATATAAACATTTTGTATTAAATGTTCAACATAGATGAAATTCTACCTATTCTATGTTAGAAAATTGTATTGTTTACAAACAAATTCTTACTGATTTTTATAATGCAAAAATACCACACGATATGATATTTGAGGAAGATTGGGAAATGACAATTTATGTAAAAGATTTTTAACAAATTTTTTATGATGCAACTAATGAATTTTCGGGTGTTTATTACTTAAATAGTTGTCTTTTAGTTAATTAATTATTTATGATTAGTGAATGTTTTGCAAAATATAGGAGAAATCCACAATTTCAAAGTATTTTTCAAATAATAAAAAATATTAGGAGAAAATTTCTCCCCTTTATTGCTTAGCTACAATATTAGATCCTAGGATTAGGAAAGATGGCTTAGAAGTTTTACTTGAATGATATTGTGAAAATATGAATATTGAAATTCGAAATAAAAAAGAAGAAATTAATAGTTTATTATTTAAAATGTATAGTTTATATGAATCTTAAGTGGTAGGGCATAGGAAATCTTGTACAGGTGCAAGTTCCACTTCTGAAATAGTTAGTTCCAATAGTGGAAAAGATAAAATTTGGTCTCTAATAAATAAGATGCAAAAATCTTCATTTGCAAGCAAGTTTTTCTACTTTAGTTGATTCTTGGGATTCAGAGGAATGAGGTAGTTTTGATATTTTAGCTTGGTGGAAAGGACATGAAAAAAAAAAAACTATCGAGTCATTTCCATCGGAGTCTTGTTTTAGTGCAAGTACTAGTGTGTTGAACAACAAGAGAAGTTGCATGAATGATGAAAGTTTGGAGATGTGCATTTGCCTTAAAGATTGGTCGGATGGCTGAGGATAGATTTCAAGGCAAAGGAGGCATGAAATTATACCTAATGTTTCACCTGAAGCAGATGACGAAAATGCAAGTGGAGGTGGAACTTGAAGAAAAATGATGAAGTCAATTTTTTTTTGTGTACTCAATATTTCAACTATTGTATTTTTTCAATTTTATTTAAATTAGTTGTTATTTTTTCAATAATGTAATTTCTTTTTATTTCCAATTTATAATTGTATTATATTTTTTTATATTTTATTCCATTTTCTATATTTCATTCATCCATTGACTATTGTATTGTTCAAATTCAAGAAATAAAATTCCTATTTTTTTTCCAATTTGTTGTCCAATTTGTATTTTGTTAAGTATTTAAGTATATTTTTTTATTTATTTGTTAGATTTTTTATTTTTCCAATTTGTTTCCAAAGATCAAAGGAACCAAGGAAAATTAAGTATTTTAGTTTTAGTGCTTACTTAGCAAAAAAAAAAAAAACAAAAAAGTTTGGCCTAGTTCGGCCCAAGCCCAAAGGCTTGACTTGTAGCCTAGCCTAACATAGGCTAGGCCCACGTGTGACACAACCCACAACCTGTCCAACCCAAGCTTGTGTCACCCAAGCCTGTGGCACGGCACGACCCAACATAGGCTTGCACGGGCTTGGAACGTGGAACATGCCAGGCCGACCTCCCAAAGTATCTTAGGGGAGGGAATCATGACCTGATTTACACCTCATACATCGTACCATGTGAAAAAACCAAACCATCCATTTTTTTTTTCTCATCTGAGTCCTCTCCCCCTCTTTTCCATTTGTTTTCTTCTCTTATCACCATTTGTATCTTTATTACATGATGATGATATTTAAGTTGGCTTTACCTCGATACCACTAAAAAGTTGAACCAATGTTCTGGTGATACATGGTTTTCATGATTTAATGGTTTAACCATCGATTAACTAATATAAATTTAACCCAATGAGCATTCATGTTTTCTATCTGGTCCAAATTTAATAAAATAGGGGATGGTAATGGGATGAGTTTGGGGTGGGAACTATATTCTTTGTCCTTAATCCCAATTTTGAACAAATCTGATGTAGCGCGATCTGGTCACTCATAGCTAGCAGGGGCCTCGCTCCTAGCTGGCAACGGACAATACCTGAGAAAGAGAAGAAGACAAAGGATTCCCGGGGAGTTCGCCCGACGGGAACACTCCGATGCTTAAGTTAGAACTCGATGGAGAGCTTAGAGAGTAGTAGAGGAAAATAAGCTAAGAGTAGAGATGCGCACTTACCTCTTTCTTGGGGGTCGGGACCCTTATATATTAATGCTTTGTCAAATCGGGTGTAACCGCCTCTGATTCTCTGYTACAGTCGTTATTTGCTAGGGCTGATTCGACTGGTGCAGGTATCCGTCATAGAGTACGGTCCTGTCAGTTGAGAGACGTTTTTCAGGGCTGGTGTGTACGATGCCGCCTGACGAGAGACATGGACATAGTCCCCTGGGCTGGCAAGTGTTGTGCCGCCAGACAAGAGATGTGGGAGCAATCTGACGGGCACGGTCTTGTTAGATAAGAAACTTTCCCAAAACTCCGAATTGCTCAATAGCAAGCTTCTTTGTAGCGAGCTGCCTTATAGCAGACTATTTTGTAGCGAGCAGTTTTACTAGGGTTTCAACGAGCTCATTATGCCGAGTTGTGGCCAAGCTGTCATGCTGAACTGTCACTTACGTCAAATCATATCCACATGTTGCCTAGTCAGGAGGTCGAATCAAATCACCCTCCATCAAAATCCTTGTCTTCAACCCCGACCCTTGTGCCAACGATAAAAGTTATCTTCCATCCTCAATTTTAAGAGAGATGGATTTTACTTGAATTTCTAAAAATTTTTAATCAAAAATATTTTTGAAAAACAAATTTACTTAAAATAAAAACTTTTAAAATATAAATAATATTTTAAATATATATATAATTAGGATCTACTCTTCACAGAACTTTCCGTACAAGACCTCACGGCCATGACAAATTGTGAGACCAGTGTGAGGAGCAGATCCGCCAGGACAATCTGTGAGATCGGTATGAAGAGCGCTCCGTTAGAGTAGATCCGGACTCGGGTGAAGCGGGACTTCACTCGCCATATCTATTCCCTCCAGATCGGGTTCTTATGAATCTCCTCCGCCGAATCAATCTCCATCCCCACTCCATCCTATCATAATTGCTCCATCCTCAATTTTGAGAGAGATGGAGAAAATTGACATCCTATCATAATTGCTCCACAGCTCCAGTTAACTCTACCCACGAAAACAAAAAGCATTCTCCAAGAAGTAAGTGGTCAAATAATATTTGGGAAAAATACCCGAAACACAGATGCAGAATTCTGAATTCCAGCCCCCTACAACTAGCCCTGTACCCTATAAACCACATCCTGCCCGTGAATTTGGCATCAATTCACGGTCAGGATGCATTCCCCCTGTACTTTGGGCTGGGCTGATTTGTACTTCTCCCATAATACTTCTACATTATTTGGCCCGGGTGGATCGGGCTTGCTCGATCCAATTCTAACTTTGTGCTAGCTGTAGCCACAATTTCCAATGCAGGCCGAGTCTGTAAAACTGTTACCCGGCTCTGTGGCCTAACACGATCAACACGCTATCTCTCGCTTGTAAAGTTGTAACAGTAGAGAGAAATAGAAAGGAAGGTTTGCAAGCAAAAGGACGGCAAAATTTCCAGAGATAGAGGGATGGTGGGACGCGGACATGGCATCATTCATCCCCTGGAGGTGGCGGAGACGGTCTTAGAGGTGGCCGATGTCGCTTGGAGCGCTGTTGAGCATTGCCGCCATCTCTGCCACCATGGCGAACATGGCGACCATGGCCCAGCTGACAACGAGCACGGTTGCGCCTCTCCTGACGAGGAATTAGCAGCCCTCTGCTCCGAGAATCGCCACCTCAGAAGCTTACTTGAGCAGAATCTAAAGCTCCTCCAACAGCTCTCCCAATCTCCGTATCTATTGAAAGATTGTCCTCCCGATGTGCGTATATTATCGTTTCCCCTTGATCCTTTTCTTTCCTAATTCCTATCTAGGTGGCTTTGATTCAGGGTTATTTTTGTGGGTTCTATATTCTGAACTGAGTAGTTTTCGTAAAGAAGGGAATTTCTTCTTTTCGTGTTCATCAGAAAGGGAAAACTTAACGCGGTTATCTACATGTTGAAGATATGTTTTGCAAATTCTGAACGTTTCACAATTCACTCGTTTGGATATCTAGCAAATCTTGTTGTTTGGTTGACTTGGTTTATGTTGATTATCGGTTGGCTTCTATTTAAATTGTGTTGGTTAGATTCATAGTGGTATTTGGGTGGACGGAATCCTCCTCGTCTCCTTCCTCTTTAAGCACAGGAAGTAATCAGGAACTTCATTCGGCCATCCTTTGTTGGGATTCAATTGTTTTATTGATCCCAAACTTACAAATGCTATGTATCATCTAATTTTCATAATTTCTCTTTTTCCTTTGATTCTTAAGCTCTATCAAGAGACCATTAAGAACTTAGGAACTGGACATGGAACCCAACAACGCTCTATCTCCACTGCTGTTCAATTAGAAGAAGCTCTATCAGATGCAGTTCAATTAGAAGAATCTCTTCTATGAACCAGCTTCTGTATATCTCCACTGCTGTCCCATTGTCTGAGGTTGAAATTAATCTAGAAACTAGAAGGGAAGAATTGGGCATGGACTTCCACCAGTAATCAGATCAAGCACTTTAAGGTGGAGTGCAACTTAAAAAGTATTCTTATTTAATGCAGCTAATCATTCGGCACCATTTTACTGCATGATATTCTACTTCTTGCTTGCTAAAGGAGCTAAGTAGGAGATAAAAGATGATGATAGAGGCTGCAGCTAGAAATTAGGATTTGAAGTGGATTCAACATTATTTTACTGCATTCTCTATTATGGTTAAGCTCAACTTGGTCTAAAGCTCATCTAGTGGTGTTGTTCCAAACTTCCTATTACTGGATTTAAGTAGTTACAAACTGTTCTTTTCATTTTACACTTTATCAGCATGAGTAATATTATGATTATTATCTGGAGCCAAAACTGATTTTGAAGAATCTGTTTCAATTTTCAGCTATACACTCGTCTCATTGCTACTGTGGATTCTAAAGACTTTTTGACTCAATTGGAATCACTCCATCAGGAATCTAGAGATGCAACAAGCAATATATTTCCCTTTAAAGAAGTTACAGGTTCTTTTATATGTTCAAATGCTAGTAGTTGCCAACATTTTTTCCTAATCTCTCATTAACTTATTTTTCTTTTTTTGTTGGTTTTGATTATTGAATTAGGAGATGATCTGCATTCAGTTGAAATTCTGATAAATGTTGATCAGGAGGAACCTAGTTGGTGGGTGTGGGTCACAGATGAAATGATTACAGAAGAGTGGAGTGGAATTGATAATGAAAGTTATGTGATTGTTAGTGAGGAACATGTAGTTGAAGGGGTTGCTAATTTCATAGCCAAATGCATTGTCTCAAACCCCAAAGCTAAGGTATATGAATACCAAAGCCCCTTATTTTGTCTTCAAACCATGTAATCGTATCTAATGAAGATTGGTAATGCCAAAATTGCAGAGACTGAGTCCAGAGCAACTGCAGAAAAGTAAGTCTTTGTTGGAACCCTGTTGATTGAAATCTATTCTGGGTAAAATGTGTTTGATAAGATTATGCATATATTTGAAGATTGAAATTAGCACAGTTATATGTGAATTTTGTTACTCTTAGCTGTATATCCTCTCCTTTTGATATGATAGTTACATCTATATTTTTGTGAAGATAACAACTGTTAAAGAAAACCTTTTGAGTACACTTCTAGGCATTAAGTTAGTTAGACAATTTGAAGACTTTTTCATTGCTTGAGCTTTACACTGTTGTAGTGGCTCAATGGAGCTAGACTATTTTGTTCTTTCACCATAACCGTGTGAAAGAATCATAGCCATAAATTTGTTTTTTGGTAAACCATAACCATGAATCAGGTAGTGGGACTTGTAACTGTAAACCATAGCCATAAATTTGTTTATGGTTTTTTGGTAAACCATAACCATAACCATAACCATAGCCATATATTTTTAGGAGAACTCTAAAAGCTTGTGGGACTTGTAAGTTGTAACTATGTATTGTGCTCCTCATTGGGAGATGAGGCTGTGTCTGTGCCTCCTCTCTTGGGAACCTTGTTGTACTGCATTGAATGTTCTACTGCTTAACAAAATTCTTACCTTACCTTTTTCTTCAAAAAGAATTGTCTAGGTGAGGACCTCTTAGGATTAAAAAAAAAAAAGCTGTATGATGTTTTTTTTATTTCTGTTTTTGTTGTGAAATTTGGAGTATTATTCCCATAGCATGTTGTGCTATCATCTAATAAATTTATCCATACAAAGGGTGCCTTCTACCTTTTTTGATCTCTCTTCTTTTATCATCGAAACCTTTTCCTTTTGATAGAAGGTTTGGTTAATTTGTACTGAGAATAAAAGAAAAAGAAAAGAAAGCAGGGGCGGGGGTTGAAACCTTACAGTTAAATAATTGTCCTTACATACGAGATCAGCAACGGAAAAGAACCACAAATACAATGATGAATTACTGCTCTTGGAACTTAACTGGAGGCAGGAGAGATTTGTTCAGAAGTTCCAGCTTACGTTGTTTAAGTCTAATTAGAGGTAACTCCATACTAAAATGCTGGTAGCTAGGTCCATATAAAATCTACATAAGGTAGGACTAATATCATCCAAGGCTGGACTATAAACAATTTTAAGGGAAAATTGAAGAAGGAAATAATGTTTTTATGGGGTTAAGTCGAAGGTTTGGGTTTGTGTGGCTAGGGAGAGGTCTAAGGAAGGTGGATGAGGGTTTACCTACGGTTATTGGACTATTTGATTTGATTAGAAAACTATTTTTGAGCTGAAATTCCAGCAATATGAACTATGCAGAAACTTCTAGATAGCTAAATAAAAAAACTAATATCTTGACATAGGATAGAATTTCTTCAAGTTGTGTTTAGGGAAGATGATGGAATATGGAAGGATTTTGAGATGGTTTCACACAAGGATGAGAATTCCCAAGATTGGGAAGTTTTGAAATCTATGGATTTTAGTAGATTTTTTTTAAAGCTGTTATATGAAATGAAAAAGGGCCTAAAATATGGAGAGGGATGAATAAGACCTGGTTTCACCAAGATTTGACAGGGGTGATTTAGAGAGAAACTTCTCTCTACAGAAAAGTGTGTGAAGTTTGAAAAATGAGGGAAATTGAATGGCCAGAATCAATTCATCCTTTATCTAGTGTCATATGGTAGCTTTTGATGGTTTTGTCCCAGGTGCTTGGTGGCTATTGTTGCTTAACTGAGAAAATTTGCAAGTGAAGATGAGAGAAAAGGGAGAGAAGAAGAAAACCTAAGAATCATTTTAGGGTTTTTAAAACCACTATAGGGCTTTGGGATTGTTCAGTAGAAGACACAAATAGCAGAAAATAATCTCCAAATTCATTAGCCACATTTTTGTAACTTTACACACAGAAACACATATATACTGTTCAGCATCAGCCAAACTCCATCATAAACTAATAAAAGTCAATATTATAATTTTGCTTCTCATACTCCAAATAAAAAAAGCATTAAATAATTCTTAAATTGCTTAATCAATAACTGATGTAGTATATAAAAAATAACTGAAAATTTCACTGCAGCTAAACTAAGATTAGAAAAATGACCAAAGTGCCCCTATGAATAGAATCAGCCAAATTCTTGAGAATATTAACAATTGTATTTTGGTCTTTTTTCCTTCTTAAGTATGTCCTTAAAGGGTGTTTATGATTCCCATCACCACCACTCAGGACCTTGGATATCTAGGACCTACTTTGGTAGTGGCCTCTTTTGTAGCTTGCCTATTGCTTTAGGGGCTGTTATTATAGCATTCAGAAGGCCAGTAACATTCTATAATCAGGAGTTCAAAATCCAATTTTATAAGATTCCATATAATTTGTAATACTGGGAATTCTGATCTTTTTGCCAAAACTGACTGCTCAAAATCCCATAACCAAGATGTTTATGGATTTTAGTTGGGCTGGATTTTGGATTTTTTTTTCAGAAGGCCAGTAGCATTCTATAACCAGGAGTCTAAAATCCAATTTTGTAAGATTCCATATAATTTGTAATACTGGGAATGCTGATCTTTTTGCCAAAACTGACTACTCAAAATCCCATAATCAAGATGTGCATGGATTTTAGTCTGGCTGGATTATGGATTTTTTTTTTCAAAGAAGGTAAGGCATTGTATTAATATAATTATGATAACAAGAGATACATCTTCCCATGTACAATACTACAATGTACATTGGGAATATACAAAAAGAGTATTCAATCAAAAAAGGGTCCAACTTTAAAAAATGAACCAAGTTGAACAGTGGACACCCTAATTGACATAATGCAAACTCCAAGACAAGGGTGCAAGGGCATGAACAAGGCAGTTTTGCTCTTTAGTTTGGAAGCCCTGCAAGAACTAAAAAGATGCTGCAATGGTGGTTCCACCTAAATGACAAGAAATTAGGAAAAGAAATAAGAAAGAGAAGCAATAAAAAGGATAACTAGCAATCTCACTGCTGGGATCCAATCGGCTTGTTAGTTGTTAGAGTGTCACTAAGTAGAAAGAGAGGAAGGTGGAGTGTCACAATTGGGAGAATGGACTTCACTTTTCAACTACAAGTTGTAGGGATCAAACTGTATCTATTCTAAAATGAAAGTGTGGGTCAATGCCTATTATAGGAGAAGGTTAGGTTGTATTGATAGGCAAGAAAACAAAAGGCCATTACCCAAAGTGGTCGCCCTGATACTCGAACCCATGTTCTCACACTTGCCAGCCCAAGATTTTATCATTACACTAAGTAATGGCCACTGCTAGGAAAGAAAGCAATATTACAAGAATGCCAATCTTATCCTTTTGGGATTTTCCTTGGAATATTCTCTTTCTGGCGCCATATGGATTGGGCCTGTTAGAGTGGGCTAGGTATGGGCTTGCATATGAGAAGATGGTAAATGATCTTCCATAGAGAGAGTTATTATTAGTTGTGGGGCATGTAGACACTATGGTAGCACAATTTGTATGAGCTTAAGACCACAAAAGTAAGGACCATTGATACTGCAGCATTAACTACCTTGGATTCTCACTAGAATATGATTCTGGACAGAATCCAGATTCTAGAACGTCATCTAAATAGGCTAATGCTTACAATTGGTAACCTCCAGGGCTGGACATCTAGCACTCTTTGAAGTCTCTATTTATATTTATAGAGTCTAAAATGCCTAGGTGTGAGATCCTGTTAGGGTTTTCATCTCATAGAGTTTAGGGTGAGGCGTGAGAAATGATGTTCACTCTCTCTCAACCTTCAAATTAGAATCTTCACTCTATTCATACTAGTTAGTGATCAAGATTATAAAGCCATCCTACAATTGCAAAGAGGTTAACCAACACATTTGCAATACACCCTTGAGATTGTGGAAATTATCAAAGCAGTCATTTTGAAAGAAATGAAATTTTTGTCCTTCCACGCAATAGTGTCATAATTTGACCAGAAAACTACTGTAAGATCACTGTCTTACCCAATCACAATCACATGGAGTTTATCCAAGAGTTCTATTACTACCATGAGACCTCATAACATGTTATTCCAAAAACCATTTTGCAAAATTAATACTTAATACATAATAAATAGGGTTCATAATTCTTTTAGAGTAAATACTATAAAATGTCCACCTGTGTGTTATAAGAGTCCCAATATGATCAGGTCACTTTAGGACAGTTTCTAAGAAACTTTCAATACAACCAACTGACCAAGATTGAGCTTTTAAGACGCTAAAGTTAGGCTAGGCAATAAGAGGTGCCTTATTGCAAAAGCCTAGATGATGTGTTCTTTTTCCCTAATAAAAACCCTGAATCCTAGGGTAATTTCTTCGGTTCCGTAGCAACTAACCATCGCTTTCACTAATTTTCAATAAAAACTATAAAATTTATTTTAAAATGTAGATAATCAACATATTCATGGAAAGAACGGGAAAAAGAAATGAAATTCCAATATATATATATATATATATAGGGGTTGAGCTCCTATTTTTGTCTTAGGAAAGGAAAAACAGGAAGGGTTGTAGAAGGCATGCACCAACATGTGTGTTGATTGAACACTACAAATAAGAAATACTAAAAAAACTAGTAGACCCACAAAATGGATAATTTAGTGTAATAATGTTTACTTCATTATTATAATCTAAAAATAATTAAGAATATAAAAATATTTTATAGCACCATGTATAAAATAGCTAGGTACTTCAGCAAAATGACCTTCCATGGGTAATCTTATAGCTTAATTGTTTTTTGTTGTTTTTTATCAATAACATCAAACTTTCATTAGAAAATATATGCTAATAGTACATGGCAGATAAGTACAAAGTGTACATGGTAAAAAGACAATGAGAGATAAAAACTCTTATCTCTCACCACACCCAAGTTTCTAATTTACAATTGTTCCCCGAAAAGTGTTTCTCTTCCCACCCTTGTTTGGCTAAGCATTTGCTACAGAATTAGCACACCACTTTATCCAGTTGAAAGAGATTTCCATCTC